TCTCCTTGACTGCTTTGCCAGTCCTGGGAACGTGGGAGAAGTCACATTGAGCAGTCAGTCGCCCAGTCCCGTTCACTCCCGCCCCCAGAATTCCCCTCTTCTGAATGTCTAATTGCATGTACAGAACGTAGATGTCTAGTACAGTATGCAAGTCCTCAGAAGGCACACACCTGGGTAAACTGCTCCCCACACAGGTGTCAGTCACACCAGAGGGTTTCTCTCTTTTATTAAACATTTTTATTTATTATCTTTTTAATATATTTTTATTTTTTTATTTTTTTTTACAGAAAGGAAGGGAGAGGGATAGAGAGCCAGAAACATCGATGAGAGAGAAACATCAACCAGCTGCCTTCTGCACACACCCCATCAGGGATTTGCCCTCAACTAAGGTTCATGCCCTTGATCGGAATCGAACCTGGGACCCTTCAGTCCGCAGACCGACGCTCTGTGCCACATGGAGATTATTAAACAGCAGCGAGAGGCAGCTCTCCCTGGCGGCGAGGAACCTGGGTGTCCGCTGCTGACGGTCTCTGTGTTTACTCCCCGGCATGTGTGGGAGGACAGGCCGTAAGACCGGGGTGCTGGTGGGAAGATAAAAGGGGGCAAGTGAGGGGAACCCCAAGATCCTGTCTCTCGGGGACTCGGGGCCACAGGATTGCCCAGCTGGACACAAACCCCAGGGCACAGGGCAAGCAGCTTGAGCCCAGAGCCAGGACCGCCTCCACCTCCTTCATCCCTGCAGCAGCCCTGGGGGGGGGGGGCTGTCCTTCGGGGGCTGAGCCTCTACCCCGGCAGCCCAGGGGCTGTTCTGGATGCGGAGATGCAGCCGAGAACTCGGCAAGGCCCTGCCCGCAAGGAGCTGACAGCCCGGAAGGGGAGACGCCAGGAGACGCGGTGAGTAGATAATACAGGATGCTAGATCGTGATGCGTTCTTTAAGGAGAGAGAAATGAAGGCAGTAAAGGGAGAACGAAAGCTTGGTATTGCACCTGAGCAAGGGGAAGGATAGCTGAGAGGTGGGAGTGTGCACGAGTGTGTGTGTGTGTGTGTGTGTGTGTGTGTGTGTGTGTGTGTTTAGCTATGCTGTGTGTGGAATGCCCTCCACCAGGCTGGAGGCAGGCATTTGGGTACCTCAAGTACAACAGCGATGTGGAGGTTGTGAGTGGGATTACTTTATCGGGTCCAGGGGCTGGCACCCTCTCCCATGGAGAAGACCCTGTAGACAGGCTACCTCATCTGCCCAAACACCATGGCTGGTGAGCGGCGGAGCTGGGATTTGAACCTGCCAAGCCGTTTTGCAGCTGCCAAGTCTTGCTGCTGTTGGAGCTGTGGGCAGGTCGCCAGACCTTTCAGAGGCTTGGTTTCCTCACCATCAGGAGAGGTGGTCAGTGCAGGGGCAGGCGGAAGACGAGGGTGATGCAGAGGCCTGGTGGTGCTCAGGCAGGTGCCCAGACGGGCCACCCGAATGGTGCTGGGTGTGCCCCTGCCCCTTTCCCACCAGACCCGCTCTCATCGGGACAGTCAGGTCTTCCAGGAAGAGATGGGGGACCGGGAGAGACTCAGGCAGAGTCCAAGAGCCAACGCATCACTTTCCATGAGAAGCCACCATCCCCCTGCCTGGAAGTCCAGGCTAGGCACAGGATCCCAACAGGCAAAGCCCTGCCAAGCGGTCGCTGGGCAAAACGGACTGGAGGAAGGGCAGGTGGAGAGGGATGCAGGGTTGGGGGGACCAGGTGGGGTCTCTGGAGTGTCCCTGGGCCCTGCTGGGGGGCTGGGACAGGCCGTGGCCTCAGCCAGCTCCTGGCAAGGGCACCGCTCCCGGGTCAGTGCCAGGCTGGGCTGGCACTCCTGAGGCTTCCGGGGCTGGCGGGCCTTCTGCTGACTGGCTGACTAGGCCTCTCTTTGGAGTTGTCACTATCGCTCTGCCTGTCCCGGCTTGGGGGGGGGGGGGGGGATGGGCGGACCCTGGCCTCTGTGGCTTAGCACTTCCACTTTGGAGCAGCCAGAGGCTTCGAAGAGTAAATGCCAATGGCTCCTGTCACGTGGGGGCTGGGCAGGTGCCTGGCCGCACTACTTCCTGTCCCCGCCCCCTCCCTGCCAGCTGGCAGGAGAGCCTCCAGCTGGCCACGCTCTGTGGGAAGTCCAATTTGTTGTCTCCCCCGGAGGGCCACTCCCGGCTGCGCCCTCTGACCAGCTCAGCCCTGACCTCCCTGGGCACAGGATCCCAGCAAGGACCCCCCCACACACACACCCCTTACCCTTCCCTCACCCCCCTCCCCCGCCAAAGGCACCAAGCCTTCAGTATGGCTCCATGGAGGTCCTGAGCCCCAACTCAGCAACGCAAGTGGTTGGGGAGGGCAGACCCCCAGCCGGCAGCCTGGAAGGAAGCTGCCCGGGTCTGCTCACTGCCCCTGCCAAGCTGTGGGCTGGCCTGTTCCCTGGGGAGTCACTGCCCAGAACACGCAGCCTGGCACTGGGCAGTGACTAACTGGAGGTCCTGGCATCTTGAGACTCGGGCCTTTACAGGCTGGGGTTTGGATGCTGCCCGGGGGTCCGTGGAGAGCACCCTGTGCTCGAGTGGACTCTGGAAAGCTTGGCGTGTGGTGGGCCAGGCTGTGGAGGCTGCCCAGGCCCCGAGGCCCACACTGGGCTGTGGCTGCCCCTTGGAGGCGGTGTGCATGCTGCCCGTGGGCAAAGGCAGTGTCAGCGGGATGCAATTTGAGTATTTGGAGCCACGCACTATGGAAATATTGGAAAGAAAGTCAGAAACGACTAAAGCCAAAGCAATCGTTTGCTAGGTGTGTCTGCAAAGAGGGGCGTGACCAGGTGAATTCTGATGGCACGGAAGGCCCAAGGCTGTAGAGTGAAAGCAGGAGGCCCAGAGCAATGGCCTGGGTCTGCTCTACCCGAGGGCTCGTTACCCGCCCCCCCTCCCCCAAGTCAGCCTCCAGAGCAGAGCAGGGAAACGGGAGGGAAGTGAGGGCAGTGGGAGGAGCTCTGGTTTTGAAGTTCAAGACCCGCTTCTGCCTCTGTCAGACGTACCCTCAGCAACACGGGGCCTCAGGTTCCCACCTGTGGAAGGGATGCTAAGCCCTTCCTGTGGGCCACCCAAGGCCAAGGCGGTAAGCACCTGTGTGGGTGTTGGCTCCCAGCTCTCACCGGTGCTGCCTACTCTGTGCCAGGCCCCAGGACGCAGGGCCCACCTGCCCGCCCTGCCCTGCCCAGGAGCTGTGCCGGGTTCCCTCAGTTCTGGAAGGTGCCGCCGCTTTCCCCTCCCAGGGCCTTCGCACTTGTTGGTCCCACATTTCCTATCGGCCCCGTTTTCCCTGACATACCCGTCCCCGTAGGTCTCCCCGGAGACACCTTCCCGCGCCTGCCAGCCTGTGGCCACCCCAACTTCTCCTAGAGTCTGCGGGGTACTGCCTACCTGAGGCTCCAGCTCCAGCCCTGGCGGCCGCTGCAGAGCTAGCCTAACCTCTCCGTGCCTCAGCTTCCCTGTGTGTAAACCGGGCCACAGGGTCCCACCTCCTGGGGTTGTTGTAAGGAGCAAGTAGCAGGACTAAAGGCTGTGCACGTTACTGCCATTTTTGTGGTCACTGTCATCAGCCTGCGGGACCCAAGAGCAGGGCTCTGCACGATCCCCCTTCCCCGCCCCGCGCCAAGCACTTGGCCTCCTCCAACCGGCCTGGGCGCCCTGAGGGCCCGGGTGCCCTGAGGGCCGGGCACCCTGAGGGCCCGGGCACCCTGAGGGCCGGGCACCCTGAGGGGGCCTGGGTGCCCTGACGGCCCGGCACCCTGAGGGCCTGGGCACCCTGAGGGCCCGGCACCCAGAGGGCCGGGCTGCCTGAGGGCCGGGGCACCCTGAGGGGGCCTGGGTGCCCTGACGGCCTGGCACCCTGAGGGCCGGGCAGCCTGAGGACCCGGCACCCTGAGGGCCTGGGCGCCCTGAGGGCCCGGCGCCCTGAGGACCGGGCTGCCTGAGGGCCTGGGCACCCTGAGGGCCTGGGCGCCCTGACGGCCGGGCAGCCTGAGGGCCGGGCACCCTGAGGGCCAGGCTGCCTGAGGGCCTGGGCGCTCTGAGGGCCGGGCGCCCTGAGGGCCGGGCAGCCTGAGGACCCGGCACCCTGAGGGCCGGGCGCCCTGAGGGGCGTACACGGCGGAGCCTGCGCTGCCCCTGGGAGGGAGTGGGAGCACCGCCGCCTCGGGGAGGCCCGCACAGTAGGCGCCCGGGAAAGGGCTGACACTAGGAGTCACGCCTCTCCCCGCCCCACGGCGGCGCGTGTGTCTGGGGAGCATCAGCCTCCGCCGACACCATTTCCACAACAAAGAGGCTCGCCTCCGCCGGCCGCTCGCCTCGGCGGACCGGGCGGCGCCGTGGGAGCGGAGGGCAGGAGCCCGCCGTCCGCAGCGGCGGCCCGGGGCCGGTCCGGGCTGTCCCGGCGGGTGAGGCGGCCGGGGGCCGGGGCGGGGGGCGCAGGCTGGCGAGGAGCGGCGCCCGCGGGCGAGCGGCGCCGCCGCCTCCGGCCGCGATTTAAAGGGCGGAGGCGGAGGGATCCGCCGGCCGCTCCGCACGGATCCCTCCGCGGGGCGTGCGGCGGCCCGTCCCGCAGCCTCGCTTTTGTCCCTCCGCCGCGGGAGCAACCGGCGGGGACTCCTTTCTCTCTCGGGTTTCTCCGCCTCCCCCCGCGCGTCCCGTGAAAGCAACAGAGGTGACGGGGAGGCGAGCCGGCGTGTCCTTCCGCCCGGCGAGGGCACTCCTTTCCGTGTCTCCCCACCGAGCCGGGCGGCGTCCGGGCGGCGCACCGGGGGCGGCGACGCGGCTGCGGCGCGGGCGGCGAGGCTGCGGGGCGATGAGGTGAGGCTGCCGGGGACGGGAGGTGGCAGCCGGCGCCGGCCCCGGGCCGCGAGCCTCGGCGCGGGCGGCGGCCTCTGGGACCCCGCGGCCGCGCGCGAGGCGAGGTGAGGCCGCGGCGCGGGGGGCGCGGGCGCGGGGCCGGCGCGATGGGGGCGGGGGGCTCGGCCGCGGCTGGGACTCATTTCCCGGCGGCGGAGGGAGCGGGCGGTGCGGCGGCCGCCGCCATCTTGGATTTTACTCGCCATTTTTCTGAGGAATTATTTTTGGTGATTAATTTTTCGGGGGGACGGGCAGTGTGGCCGGGCGGCGCGGGCCCCCCAGCGCAGCGGCCCGGCGAGGAGCTCGACGCGCTCGGAGGAGCGGGCGCCGCGGTGAGCGGGGCGGCGGCGGGGGGCGGGCCGCGGCGCCGGCGGGGGCGGGGGCGGGCCGCGGGCCGGGCTGCAGTGGGCGCCGCCGCCGGAAGGGAGCGGTAGCGGCCGGGCGCGGGGCCGGGCGGCGGCCGCACGCGGGGAGCAGCCCCGCCGCTCCGATTGGGGGCCGTGTGTTCCCTCCTCTCCAATGGGCGGCGGGCTCCGCGGCGGCGGTGTGTTTGGGCCGAGCCTCCCGCCGGCCGCCGCCGCCCCGGTGACAGCGCGCCGGCCCCGCGCCCCGGCCCCGGCCCCGCGGCCGCTTCCCCTCCGGCGGGCGGCGCCGCGGCCCCGAGAACGCGCGGCCGCGCGCGATGGGAGCGCGGCGCTCGCACCCGGGCGCGGGGCGCGGGGCGCGCGGGGCGTCCCACCCGGCGGGAGGGGGCCGCGGGCCGAGCCCCGCTCCCACTCGCGCCCCGGGGGCGTGTTCCGGAAGTTGGTCTCCGGGAGCGGCCGGGCGGGGCGTGCGCTGGGGCAGGTGAGCTGGCCGGGCCCCTGCTGGAGCGGAGCCGTTGGGGGGAGCCCGGTGGCAGCCGCGGGGTCGGCGCTGCGGGGCCTCCGGAGCCGGGCTCCCGCAGGTTGAATGTGGGAGCAGCCCGGGCGCGGGCGCTGAGCGGGGGAAGCGCCCGCAGCTGGAGAGGAAGGGGGAGCCTTCGCACACTTCCATGCGGGGACTCCCCGGCCCTTCCCAGCGGCGTCAGAGTTACTGTGGCCGCAGTGGCCGCAGGTTACGTGGTGGCGGCGTTAGGGGTGGCCTGTCATGGTCGGGGCTCCCGACCCGCAGTCCAGGGTTCCAGCCCGCGGGCCGGTGTGGCGTGTCCCATCCCTAAACCTCCCACGCGCTGCGCTCCCTTTTCCCAGCACCAGTCCCCGGGGCCATGCCTGTGCCTCTCAGGGTGCACCTGCCCGCGGTCCTGCACCCCCGCCCCGTTCACACGGTCTTGGGGGCCCGGGACCGGCCCGCCTGGTGGAACCCCCTCTGGCGCACAGGTGCCGGCTGGCCCGCCGAGGAGAGCGCACACTCCCTGTGTCCCCGAGCCTGGTCACCTGTGGTGTGTGTAGTGGATGTGGCGGTTCCTGGCTGTCCTGGGCTTGCTGTGAGCTGCTTGTTTACCTCCTCCGTTCAGGGGCAGGTGCCGAGAAGGTGCTTATTCAGTAGACACTTGAAGGCGTTAACTTTGCTCATCTCCCAAGTGATCAAGCTCAGTAGTCAGTATTTAGTTTTTCAAAATGTTATTAAACATTGTCTTAATAACATATTCTAATGTTATTAAAAACACTGTTGTCATTAGCAAAACAACTTAGAGTGAAATGAATGTTGGGTATTTATTGTTTATGAAGAGAGGAGAGCAGGCTGTTTCACCCATAAACCTTGCAGTTGAACTCTCATCTGCAAGTGCTCTTTGCCTCTGTTTTCTTCTGTCTTCTGTACACACTGAACTGCCTGTGCTTAGAACGCTCCGTGCGTGAGCCAGCCGCCAGGGGGCAGCACTGGGGGGGGTAGGCTGGGAGGGCGTCAGGACAGCCTGTGAAGGAAGTGGTTGCAGGTTGTTCGCACGCCTTTGAGCGTGGACTTTTGTGGGTGGGGATGTTGGATTGTAAATTTCCCTGGTCATTTAAATCTGTCAGTGAACCTGCTTTTTCTTTGCATGAGTACCATTTGTTACCGGGCACAGAGTACGTGGCCCAGTGGTGGTGTAAAGACGTATGTTTGTGTGAGTAGCATCTGAACAGCTCCCTGTCCACAGGAATGCCCTTCCCATGGCTTATGAGAGAAATCCTTTCAGATAGAGCACAAAGATTCCATGTTTTATACTCCCATTTTACTTTGTTTTTATTCTTTATTGTTGAAAGTATTACATATGCCCCCACTTCCCCCCACATCGGCCCCCTCCAGCCCACCCGGCCCCAGTGATTCTCTCTCATTACTGATGTTTCTCTCTCTCTCTCCCTCTCCCCTCCTCTCTGAAATTAATAAAATATTATATTTTAAAACAACTTTTGTTCCAGTTTGCTCTGTCATTATTTATATGAGACCATCGGGAGGGCCAAGTTTCTTCATCTGTAAAATAATGAAACATTAATCTCTGAGATCACTTCTAATCCCATATTATAGTTTATATTTTACATTTAGTTGCCACCCTATTGTAAGGACTATTTTAATCATATTTTCACTAATTGGTTTATATACTTTATCTGTATATTCATATAGTTTTACTCCTTTAAAAAATCAAATTAGCTGAAACCGGTTTGGCTCAGTGGTAGAGCGTCGGTCTGTGGACTGAAAGGTCCCAGGTTCGATTCCGGTCAGGGGTATGTACGTTGGTTGCGGGCACATCCCCGGTAGGGGGTGTGCAAGAGGCAGCTGGCCGATGTTTCTCTCTCATCGACGTTTCTAGCTATCTCTCTCCCTTCCACTCTCTAAAAAAATCAATAAAATATATTTTAAAAAAATCAAATTAATGATATAGCTTACAGTCAACTGGGTTTTATAATTAAAAGACTTGGGTATATTGCCAAAACTGGTTTGGCTCAGCGGTAGAGCATTGGCCTGCGGACTGATAGGGCCCGGGTTCGATTCTGGTCAAGGGCATGTACATTGGTTGCGGGCACATCCCTGGTGGGGGGTCTGCAGGAGGCAGCTGATCGATGTTTCTTTCTCATCCGATGTTTCTAGCTCTCTCTCTCTCTCCCTTCCTCTCTGTAAAAAATCAATAAAAAGTATATTTTTTTTTTTAAAAAGAGACTTGGATATATCGTGTATCAGTGGTCCCAAAATTTTGATTCTTAAGGTCTACATGGCTCCTACTTGTCAGTTGCATCGCTGCAGGTGTCTCATTTTCTGCATTTTAGCAGCGCACTGAGGCCGAAGGAAATAGGCCTGGGGAGGCATTCCTCAGTGATAAGCCTCTTTATTTCTGCCTGAACCACCTGTGGCGCAGGCATTGGAGTAAATCCCAGACTGCAGCTGAACACCAGCGCTTAGGCCAGCCTTACCACTTCGCTTCCGCTCGACTGCAGGAAAGCACCTTTACTTCTGAGCTTCGGCCGCCTCCTGTAGAGTGATGATACCCCTCCCCACAGCACGAGCTGCCAGGCTGTGTGTGCGGGCTCTCATTGCACCTTTCTAGAAACACCGGGGCAGGAACCGCAGATCTCATGGCGCTGGGATCGCCTCTCAGGTCTTAGGCAGGAGACTCCTGGGAAGGGTTTTCCTGGGGCTGAAGCTCTGCGCCCTCTAGTGTTCCTGGACACCACCGACATTCCAGCACCACGAACAGTGCCCGTGGCTCCCAGTAGGTTCTTGGTAAATGTTGGCTTCAGTGGATTCTAAATCTGCAGGATGATTCATTCTGTCTGATTTGTATAACAAGGTTGAAGTATCTGATAAATGATCCATGAGGTGTATTTTTATTTTAAGAAAATGCTTATGTGGCCCAATGTGGAGGGATATATATATATATATATATATATATATATATATATATATATATATTCGAACCTGGGACCTTTCATTCCGCAGGCCAACGCTCTATCCACTGAGCCAAACCGATTTCAGTGGCTTAATTTTTTCTAATTCTCTAAGGCTGGCTCTCATTTGTAAAATGGGGCGATAATAGTTATCTTTCATGTTCCTGTATAATTTAATTTTTATTATACGTGAATGAGTATATTTAATACGTTGTACATGTTAAGGGACTGTGATGGGGGCAGGTGACATAATACGCATAAAGCTATAAGCACAGACCTTGGATCACAGGGCAGTACTGTGAAATAGTACCCAGAAACCAGTGCTGAAGAGGTCTCTCAGCTGTGCCCAGGCCTGCAAATCGTCCCTACAGCATTCAGGCCTTCACTCACGTCCTGAGCAGATAGATACTTAGCAGTCCATCTCCGTAACCACTCAGCAACCTCGTCCCAGATAAATATTTAAATGTGTGGTGGTCACGGTGCTGGGCACTTAACAAGTAATCCTGAACAGGGTAAGTGGGGGTGCTGTTTGCAAGGCCTGTCTCTCCACTGTGCCGCTGCTCATTTTATTTCCTCTCTTTCCTCCCCTTTTCACTTTCAGTTAACTGGTAAAGCTAAAAAGGAAAAAGGAAGTTTGGTTTTGCGTGTTGGTAGCACATGTTGTCAGAAGTGAATTACTTTAGGTAGGTAATTTCTCTCCCTGAGCCTGCTTCTTTCACTCTAAGACTGTTTGTTCTGAAATTCTGCGATTCTTTGAATTAAAATAATATTGGAATGTTGGCATTGTGTAAAGCTCTTTTTGTTAATGTCACTCCACAGCCCCACTTCTCTCCGGAGTTCCAACATCCCGTGCCAGCTTCACCCGGGGAGTGCCCCCTCCTCCATTTTCACAAATTCAGACTTTCCCATCTTCCTGCAGACTTTTCTTCTGGGTTAATGGCAACCTTGCAGTCGCCCCAACCTGAGCTTTCTGACCCAGCTGGAACTCCTTTCAGCCCCTCCCCACCTAAATGTAATTGGCTCCCACGCTTCTATTGGAAACACCACGCCTTTCTCCCTTCCCACTCGCTGCTCCTGTTACGTTAATTTTCTCGCTGGTCTGTCTTGTCTTCAGTCACACGCTTTCTCACCAGCGGATCTCATGGCGCTGGGATTGCCTCTCAGGGCTTAGGCAGAGGCTCCTGGCAGGGTCATCAGCTTCCCGTTCTGTTAGAGCAAATTCTCTAACCTTTCCTCTGAGTAATAGCAGCTTCAGCGGGTGTGAGAGTAAGTGATAACGTGAATATAGGAAGCACTAAATGAATAGAGGGGCTGTGATTTACTGGTGTTTTTGAACATGGAGTTACAATAAGGAAAAGTGTTTTACCACACACACAAGCTAAGTGCCACTGTAATGGAATCTTGAATGTTGCTTGTGAGTTGTAGTTGGTATAATTTTTAATTTCACGTTATTGCCAGAGGTCACATTCCTCTCTCTAGGAGCAGCGGGGAAGCAGAGTTGGTCTCCGCTCTGGAGCATAAATTCGCACCCCTGGCCCTTGTTTATTCTCCTGAAAACTGTACTTTTAAATGGATGAGGCGATGTGAGAGTGTGTGTGTGTGTGTGTGTGTGTGTGTGTGTGTGTGTGCTGGGGGGGTGGTAGGGTGAGGAGTTAAGGGGAAATTTCTTCTTGAATTTTTTAAGATTTTATGGATGATGGGCCAACATGCCTGGCCCTCTGATTCTGCTTTAGTTACTCAAAAAGAGACAGTTGGATAACTTTATTTTATTAGCAGTTTCTGCTCACTTAGTTCTTTTGACAAACCAAGGAGGTAGGCCCTCTCTTCACGTTATCACTAGGCGTTAAAGAGGTTAAATGGTTTGTCCGTGGTCACACTGCTCACCCCGAGAGTAACAGGTGGGCCAGGGCGGCCGGCTCTGACTCCACCCAGAGCCTGTCCTGAGCACAAAGTCCACACCCTGCAGCCCTGGCTTTAGACCCACCCGAGAGCCTTTGGGAGCTTTCTCCCCTTTGTCTTTGCCCCGGAAGAATTAATTCTTCTTTGTTCTGCTTGCCTCAGAGCTCCCGAGGAACTGAGGGCTGCACGTGCAGGCCTTTGACACTAGGTGGCATCTGTTTATAGAAAAGGAAAATGCTGTTTGAGTCTCAGAAAACAGTAACAAAGGAAGCATCCTTGATTTTATTCATAGGCCCTACTAGGAGGTAGTGGGTCAGATATGGAGAGGTGGGCAAGCAGGTTGTTGGTTTTGGAATTTCCCTCAACATCTACGTCAGCTAAAACCTTTATTTTAAAGAGGCGATTTGAGACACAAATTTTTATGTGAAATCCTTTGTTGTGCTATAATCAGACATGAATAAATAAGGAACTGTGAAGCAACATTCTCTGTAAGGGTGCTGTTGGAGAGGTGTTTATTGCATGCCCAGCTGTTGTGTTGTAAATGTCTGATTGCTGAGTTAATGGTAGTGTATATTTTGCTGTTTAAAATGTTCTTCTGAGGCCCTGACTGGGTATCTCAGTTGGTTAGAGGGTCATCCTGATATGCCAAGGTTTGCAGGTTCAATCCCCAGTCAGGGCACATACAGGAACCAACCAATCTACTAGTCCTATCTAGTAAAAAAGAGATACATGCAAATAAAAGAGACACATGCCACGCCCACAAGCCCCACCCACCAGCCAATTAGGAGCAGGTATGCAAATTAACCCAACAAAGATGGTGGTGGCCACAGAGCTGGAGTGAGCAGGCGTTGCCCCTGGCAATGGAGGAAGCCAGGCTGGCCCTGGCCTCTGCTCAAGGCTACAAAGTTTCAATTAGAGAAGATAAATAAGTCCCAGGTACCTGCTTCCAGTGGGCCCTGGCCTCCATGAAGGAGGTGCTAGAAAAAAAAAAAGCAAGCAGGAGGGGCTGGGAGCTTGGTCGCCAGGGGCAGCTGTCAGCCTCTCACCCAGGCTGGCCAGCCACCTCAGCGGGACCCCCTCCCTGTTTGGACACCCTTCAGGGCAAACCAGCTGGCCACCCATGCACCAGTCTCTATCTGTACTAATAAAAAGGCAATATGTTAATTAGACTGGGAGACCTTCCATGAGACCTTCCAGATGTTCTTCTGGACAAAGCCATGGTGGTAGGGCCGAGGTAGAGGTGTTAGAGGCCAAGAGGGAGGGCAGTTGTGGGTGATCAGGCTGGTGGGGGGTGGAGCTGTTGGGGGTAAGCAGACCAGCAGGGGGGGCAGTTGTGGGCAAGCAGGCCATCAGTGGGGTTCAGTTGGAAGTGATCAGGACAGTGGAGGGGGCAGTTTGGAGTGAGCAGGCCAGCAGGGGGACAGTTGGGGGCAAACACACTGGCACAGGGGCCAGTTGGGGGTGATGAGGCTGGTGGGAGACATTTGGGGGTGAGCAGACTGGTAGGAAGAGTGGTTAGAGGCAATCAGGCAGGCAGGTGAGTGGTTAGGAGCCAGCAGTCCCAGATTGCGCAAGGGATGTATCCGTTTAGGCCCGATCCCTGAAAACTGGCAGTTGGACATCCTTCAAGGGGTGCCAGATTGGAGAGGGTGAAGGCCAGGCTGAGGAACACTGCTGCGTCACCCCCCAACCCCCGTGCACGAATTTAGTGCACCAGGCCACTAGTATATATATAAAAGCCAGCGACTTGAATGCCATAAAGACCAGAATGACCGGTCGCTATGACTCCCACTGCAGCTGGCCAAATGGGGTGGGACTGGCCAATCTCCTGCAGTCCCACCCCCTGGCCAGTCCCACCCCCAGTGGGCCCCCATCATCCCCATCGGCCTGCAGGTGTCCTCTCCCCAACCCCCCCTGCTGCCCTGCCCCTGATTGCCCCCTCAATAGGGGACAGGGTCAGCTGGTCAACCTCCTAAACTCCTTCCCCCTCCCACCCCAATCGGGCAGGGCCAGCCAGCCAACTGCCTGTGGCCCTTCAATGGGCCTCCAACATCTCCATCTGTCCTTGGCCCCTCCCCCACAGCCAGCTCCGCCCCTAATCTCACACACACACACACACAGCCCAATTGGGGGTAGGGCTGCCTGGCCAACCTCCCACAGCCCCTCCCCCAGCTGCTGACTCCCCCATGGCTCCCCCCATTGGGGATGGGGCCCACCGGCCAGTCACCCATGGCCCCTCCCCCAGCTGGCCAGGGCCCTGATGGGCCCACACCCATGCATGACTTCAGGCCTCTAGTGGATACATATAAGAGGAATAGCTGATGTTTTTCTCTGTCAAATCAATATAAAATATTAAAAAAGCTCTTAATGAAAAATTCTAGTAGTATTAGTTTTCATTTTTATTGTAAATCTTATATAAACATAAACATGTTCCATCACAATATTTCCAAGGAAGGTCTTGGTTAACTGGGCTTCAGCACGGTTCGTAGTCACATGTGGGATTGAGACTTCAGCTTCCAGCTCTATAGCTTTGCTTCCCCCTGCAGTTGAAGAGGGGAATGACTATTAAAGTGTGTCTAAAACAACTTCTTAAAGGTGCTTAAAATCTGTTTTCCTGTGATGCGTTTGGAATTTGATGTGTGTTTGAAGTCTGTGACCTCTGAAGCATTTTCATCGGTTTGCTTTTTCGTGGCCTCTGTCCTAGTTCCTGCGGGCGCTGTGACGGCGACTGCAAACTTGTGGCTCCGAAGGCAGAAGTCATCAGCGGCGTCACTGGCCAGGGGAAGGCAGGGAGAGTAATTACATTTCTAAAGCCCTTTCCTTATAAATGACATTTGCTGGTGTGATATCTTTGGGGATCATTTTCCGGCCTACTACAGTATTCTCCTCTCCTTTTCTTAAAATGTATTTTTATTGATTTCAGAGAGGGAGGGAGAAGGAGAAAAAATAGAAACATCAGTGATGAGATGGAATCATTGATCAGCTGCCTCTTGCACACGCCTGTGGGGATTGAACCCGAAACCCGGGCATGTGCCCTTGAATTGGAATTGAGCCTGGGACCCTTCAGTCCATAATTGGGCATGATCAGTTAACTCAGAAGTCACTGACCAGTTTTTAATGCTCTGTCATAGCAGACAGTAGGAGTGGTAACAGTGTTGGCATTTGGTGAGGGTCCATCACTGCTGGGCACTTGGCATGAACCAAACACATTTTTTTTTTTTTACCTCCCAAATACATTTTTTATGAAAGTTCTGTGCTTTCTTTTGAAACTTTTTCAAGTATCAGTATTTTTTCCAATTATTCATAAATAGATTTGCTATAAACATTCGGGGGTGTATGTGTGTGTGATTTTTAAAATTAATCTCATTCCCTCAACGATAGCCATTCTGTTGATTTGGGGGGGGGGGTGCATCTGGTTTTTCCACAGTAGTGTTTACAATGTGGTTAGACGTTTTCTCTCTAAATACAACTCTGCAGCTGAAGCCAGTTTGGCTCAGTGGTAGAGCGTCGGTCTGCAGACTGAAAGGTCCCAGGTTTGATTCCGGTCAGGGGCATGTACATTGATTGCGGGCACATCCCCAGTGGGGGGTGTGCATGAGGCAGCTGGTCGATGTTTCTCATCGATGTTTCTGGCTCTCTATCCCTCTCCCTTCCTCTCTGTAAAAAATCAATAAAATATATGAAAATAAATAAATAAATAAATACAACTCTGCATAATTCTTTAACTGCTTCCCTCTCTAATGCAGCTCCTACTTCAGCACTCGCCATAAGCAGTCTGCCCTCTCACTTACAGTTGGTACCAGGGTCTGAAGCATGTGCTCCTTCCCACATGGTGCAGTGAGGTCCTGCCGGCTCAGTGCCGGGAGCCTCCCGGCCGCTGTCTGCCTTTCCCTCCAGAGCCTGGCGCTCTGGGAAACTCAGAAACCAGGGAGCGAACCTGCGCTGCTGCCCGCTCAGGGCCGCTTCACCAGAGGGCGCTCCTGTCCGGCCAGAGAACTGGACCATCTCTTCGTCTACAAGCGGTTTGTTTATTGGTTTTAAAGTAGGGAAAGGAGAGAGAGACAGGCACCTGGAGAGTTACTTCCTGCACGCCCCTACTGGGGATTGAGTCCGCAACTAGGCATGCACCCTGACCATGAGCCGGACCAGGGACTCCTGGTGCATGGGGCAGTGCTCAGCCGACTGAGCCACACTGGCTGGGCTAAAACTGTGTTTTGTTTGTTTGGGTTTTTTGTTAAAAACTTTTAATACTCCGTATCTTTCATAGTGGGAACATTGTTACTACAGTGCTTTTAATACTCTATCTTTCATAGTGGGAACATTATTACTACAGTGCTTTTATACTCCGTATCTTTCTCAGGAGTCTGTGCAGCATGGTCTGCTGTGTATTTACCTCCCATTTTGTTTTGTTTTTCCTATTTTGTTTCCGTTAGGAGAGAACATTGAACTTATTCTCTGAGCTTTTTGAAGAGAGTGACTAAATGCACCTGGCTCAGGCTGGCTGTGGGCATGAAGTGGTTGGGAGAATCCAAGAACATGGTGGTGAATGGCCGGCGACATGGAGGCAAGCTGTCCAATGAGCATCAGCAGAATCAACCGAAGGTGCCGCACTCGGGGAAGGACTCTGTGAAGGCTGGCAGACACGCAGTGGAGAGGAGGTCCAGCAGATGTATGTACACAAACTTGCTCTTTTCACTGGGATGTGGGGCAGTAATTCTTTCCCGTTTGTAATGTATCCGTGCTCTGTTGTTCTCAAAACAATTCATGTTCTCACATAGTTAACAGTATAGTATTTTACTCTTTCAAAGTTGTATCAGTTTTTATTCTCATCAAATGTGTCAACTTCAGTTTAATGCTTAATATAATAACTTCAATCATCCTTTTATATTCATGGTTTTAATTATATTTTGTAGAATTTATACCTAAATTGCTAATCTGTACTATAAAAAAAAATTTAATACTGCTACTTACCTGAATTTCTTAAAAGTTCAAACTGTATTTTTTATATTTGATATAAGTATAAATATGTATGTCTTTGAAAACTTACAATAATATAAATAAGTTAACTCTGATTTGCATGATAGAGTTTAGGGCAGCCTCGCAAATTGTCACCATTTCTTGCATTTATATAGAGTGAACAAGCCTTTATCCGGATAGGGAGGCACTATTGATGTTAAGTTACTTTTTTACCTCTATTCCTCTTGGTAAGAATGAAATGACTGGTTGAGAGTTGTGAGAAATTATAGTTTTCATAGCTCTTGTATGAGTAGTAAATCGACCCAGGATAAACATAAACCTAAGTGGACAACAATATGAAGGTTTTCCAGAAGTGTATGACCATGTTAAGGAGTAGAGCTTTTTCTGTTTCTTACTTTTCCTGAGGTTAATTTAGCTATTGCTAAACAGCCTTAGTTTTGTGTTGGAACTTGCCTTCTCCCCATACATTGAATTAGCCTGAGTGTCCTGCAGTTTCAGCTAAATTGCTCTAGTTCTCATTCATTTCATTTTTACCTTTTAGGGGTTTATGCTATTCATTGGTTGGGGCCCATACTGCCCTTAACCTTTCCAGGTCAGATCAGATCACTGTTTTTTAATGGATGCTCTTCTGCATGGACACCTGCCCCTTAGCGTGTAATGGGGGCCTGAAGGGATTGAGAAATGTAGTGACTATAGCTGTGGTATTGACTCTGTTCAGTAAGTTAGGCATCTCTTAATTTAAAATATATATATATATATATATATATATATATATATATATATTTTATTGATTTCAGAGAGTAAGGGAGACAGGGAGTGAGGGAGCGAGGAAAGAGAAGAGAAACATCGATGTTGAGAGAGAATCATTGATCGACCGCCTCCTGCATGCCCCACACTGGGGATTTAGCCCCAAATAATCTATGGATTGAATGCATTTTCCTGTCAAAATCTCAACTGGCTTCTTTGCAGAAATTGACAAGCTGTTACTAAAAAATTCTTATGGAAATTTAAGGGACCCAGAAAAACTAAATCTTGAAAAAAAAAGACTCTTAGTCATCAAGAAAATGCAAATTAAAACCATAAGGTACAATAACCATTAAAACTGGAATCGAAAGGATAGATAGTCAGTAGTGTTGGTGATGATGTGGAGAACTTAGTACCCTCACACACTACTGTTGGAAATGTAAAATGGTGCATCCACTTTGAAAAACAGTCCGGCAGTTCCTCCAAAGGTTAAGCATGGAGTTAGCATATGACCTAAGCAGTTCCATTCTCAGGGATGTTCCTAAGAGAATTGGGTAACATATGTACACACAAAACTTTCATATGATTGTTCATAGAGACATTACTCATAATAGCCAAAAAGTGGAAACAGCCCAAATGTCCACTGACTGATGAATAAACAAAGTGTGGTAAATCCATACAGTGGAATATTATTTAGGCATAAAAAGGAATGAAGTACAGCATGGATGAACCTTGAAAACATAGGCTGATTGAAAAAAGCCAGTTGCAAAGACCACATATTGTATGATTGTAGCTATATGAAAATTTCAAAGTGGGCGAGCCCAGGGAAACGGAAACTGGATCAGCGGTTGAAGGGGCTGGAGGGAGAGGCAGGCAGTGGCTGCTAATGGTGTGCAGGTTATTGTGGGGAGTGATGAGATGTTCCAAAATCAATGGTGGTGATAGTTATACAGTTATGGGAATATATTAAAAAGTAACTATTGTACACTTTCAAAGGGTGAATTATATGGTATGTGTTCAGTAGCTTCAGTGTCAATAAAGCTGTTACAGAAAATAAGTGATCTGATAGCTTTTCACAGACCCACATGCAAATCATGTACCTACCCTTTGGCAGGGATTTTCACATCAGTGTTTGTTTATTTATTTTTAAGAGTGGATGAAAAAAAGATAACCTTCACTGTGGGTTTCTCTCATTCTTTCATGCCTTTATTTTGAGAGGCTTAACGCTATCAGCTGGTATCTTCACTGACTGCTGGTGGGACTCAGTGACACGTGCTGGAGTGAGCACTGATGAAACTGATAGACACAAATTCGGCCTTCCTTTCCTCTCTTTACAGTGCTTTTCTCCCAAATTAAACCCATTGACTTCCATCACGTATATATTTCTTTCATCTTCCTTATTTTTCAAACAAAATATCTTCAGACAGGTCAGTTAGAAACAGGCCTGTCGTTCTCTTTTCTCCTTTTCCCACCTCTGCTACCTAGCTTTGTAATCCTAGGCAAGTAAGTTCTTAACCTCTGGGCCTGCTCCCAGCCAAGTGGAATTAATAATCACTCATCCACCTGAAAGCAGGAAGCTCGAGTCAGCTACTTGGGACTCCTTTTGGGACTTAAAATCAAGCTCTCCCCTCTGGCCCTGACTGCAGAGAGCTCCGTGTCCATCCTTTCCTCCCCGCCCTGGCTGAGTGCCCTGTGTGCTCTCTTGCTGCCGTAATGCACCTCCACCTTCCCGCCTCTCAGCTCCTCCTCGGAGGACAAGCATCTGAGCCAAAGGTTCTCACAGACGCTCTTCCTGGGAAACCTGGTGCTACATGTAATCGGAATACTCTCAATAATTGGGTTAGTTTATTGCATTTGCCTTTATGTTTATGCAAATAGTACTCCCGTGTCCATTATTAAAATTGATTGAAATAATGTTAGTTCTTGATTGCTAGCTTGAATGGGCAAAGGTTTTTAAGGTAGACTTGTCATTTTCCATTTGAGTTACTTTTCTTTTTCTTTATTTGCAGGTAATGGTAACTCAGGATTCGAAGGACAGAGTCGATATGTGCCATCTTCTGGAATGTCCGCTAAGGAACTCTGTGAAAACGATGACCTAGCAACCAGTTTGGTTCTTGATCCCTATTTAGGTTTTCAGACACACAAAATGAATACGAGGTAATTTTAAGTCTTCATCCTGAATGACACAGATGATATTGAATTTAAGAAAATAGATGGAATGAAAGAAAATAGATTTTTTCTTTCAGTCAGAAATTTAAATGACATTAAAGGAAAGTAGTTTGCTACAGAAAGATTTTCTATATGTGAGCCACGAAAAACAACAAAAGCTGAGAATCTTGTCAGTTTTAATTCTGTGTTCTTATTTTATCTCAGGATATTTCTTACTAAAATATAAAGCTAGGGGAGCATCTTTATTCTGTTCTAAATGTTGATGCTAATTAGTGGAAAGAAATCTGACAGGCATCCTGTTCAACCTTAAAAATGTATATTTTCCTGCTAAAAGTAGATTATAGCCTTTTTTCCCGTAGTTTTATTACAGACATTTCTAAAATCATTGCCACTGTGTTTGATCTTTGAGGTGCAGCAAAGCATTCAGCTAAGAAAGATTCAACTTAGTAAGCGTGAATATCTTTAAAGACGTGCTTACATTCAGGTGCAGATAAGAAAATAGATGTGCAAGTGCTTTATTGAGTATTAAAGGTCATCTACTTACAATATTACTGCATCACTCTTGAAATCTTCATCCTTTAAATTTCTTTACTTCCCTAAATATCTTCTCTCCCACAAAAGGCTTAGAGAATTTTGTAATGACCCCCACCATACAACTGTTCTCTCTCTCTAACTTCCACAGCAAAGGGTGTTCAGTCTGAGGGAAACGTGTGGGCACTTAGAATGTAGAGCCAGTTCCCGCCAGCGCCCACTCCTGCCTCCCTCACCCTGTACGTGGTCAGTAGCTCCCGTGTCAAGGGCCAGCCCTGGAAGGACTTGATCACCAGGTGGATATCACCGATAATTAGGGGCGGTAGGAACTGGTGATAAAGGTGATTAGAGGAAAATCTGTGTTCATCTTTTTCCCTTTTAACTCTCTCCCCTTGCTAAAATTAAAACAAAATACTGTGTGATGCATTTATTAATTACATGCTAAACCCAGAAAGAAGTAATTCTGGTGAAAATTTTACATGTGTCTCCTTTTTCCCCAACTGACCCCCCTCCTCCTCCAGCCAAAATACCAGAAAATTGGTATTTTCATGTAATTTTCAGTCATCATGTGTCTTTACTTAGTAAAATGAAGTGAAAAGCTGGGATGGACTTGAGAGGTTCTTGAGATAGTCCCTGCCTTCAGAGGGGCAAATATCTAAATTTTCTTAATAGGAGACAGATGGCTGTCCTCTGGGAAGTCAGCAGCCTCAAAATGCCATAGTGTCCACGTAAAGTCTAGTTTGTATTGTATTAAGTCCATTTCCCTTTGTTCACTCAGTAAACACAGGAGACCTGGCCGCTCTAGAGCAAGCATGTCAAACTTGTGGCCTGTTGGCCAAGAGTCACGAGTCTGACATGCCTGCAGAGGATCCTGATAGCATATAAGCCACCTATTAGCCTTTTTTCCCCCCTGAGTTAAGAAATGTGAATCACTGATTCTCATAACAATCTAGTAGTAGCATTCAGGATTTTACTGCAAAGGCCTATAATTATGACTGGAGTCATCAAGAAAGGTATTATCTTCATTAAGCCTTATATACTGAAATATGGAAGCATATAAACCATTTTAGAAAGTGTTTCAACAAAATTATAAAGCGTTTTTAGTGGCTTTAGGAGAGAAATCTGTGTGTGCAGAATCCCCATGCTTTGACTATTCCAGAGGATGAAAGCTTACCTGTTACTGGGGAAAAAGTCTTGTCCTATCCTATATAATAAAAAGCCAATATGCAAATTAACGGCAGAATGGCTAGTCACTATGACAAGCACTGACCACCAGGGGGCAGCCTTCAACACAGGAGCTGCCCTCCGGTGGTCAGTGCACTCCCATAGGGGGAGTGCTGCTCAGCCAGAAGCCTGGGCTTGTGGCTGACGAGCACATGGGGAGCTTCTCCTGTCCCTGGGGCATCCCTCCAGGGCTCCCAGGCTGCCAGAGGGCGCAGGCTGGGCTGAGGAGCCGCTGCCCCTCCCCCAGTGCACGAATTTCGGGCGCTGGGCCTTGAGTTTTCTATAAAATCCTCCGTGGTAATTAGTTTATGGGAGTCACTTGGTAAATCTTAAGATGCTTAACCAATGGACACAGACACTGGGGGCTTGCCCAGGTGTGGATGGCTGGGTGGGGGGTCAGTTGTGGAAAAAGGAGACATACCGGAACAGGTGCTTCTAGTCATGCCCCTTGTGGGGGCTGTAGAACCCAGAGGCTGGGCAGTATCCTCAGGATGGGCGACTTGGAAATGAGCTGGGCAGGAAATAATGTTATAAAGAAATGCAAGAGTCACTTTTTCTTTGGAATTTTTCTGAACCAAACTGCAGTCTGTATAGTCCTTGCTCATCCTTCTACTACTGTAACTAATTTTATTTTACTTTATGTATTTGATTTTGTATTTATATCCTCTGTTGGATATGAATTTATGTATTTATATCCTCTGTTGGATATGAATTTATAAATCATGTTAAGTGTCACTTTGAAATTAAGCGCTTGACTAGAAAGCGTAAAGGAATTCTTAAATCTTCTAACTCGGTGTAATGTGGGAAGAAAGGATTTTAGCATCCGGCTTCTGTCATGCTGAGACGGACACCAGTGTCTTAAGGATTTTTGCAACAGCTAACATTGTAACTCTGCTTAGAGATGACAAGTCCAGGTCGTACAATAGTTTTCATTGTTGTTGTTTGTTTTTGCATTTCTATAGCAGCGCCTTTCCTTCGAGGAGCTCAAGGCACTTTTCAAAGTCTGACAGTTTTCCTCACAACAGCCCAGTGAGGTAGGTAGAGCGCATTACAGACAATGCTAAGGTGCCGCGCACCGTCACGGCCTGCCTGATGTTCTTTGGTGTTAAATAACGGAGGTGTTGGCATAAGCATGACTTTCAGAACATGTTGCAAACCTTTTAAAATAGTTCGGTCATAGTCATAGTTGTATTTTAAAAAAATGACTTGTACTCCATAACAGGGTAATTTTAAGAGAAATCTTTCATCAAAGATCAGGACTCACTCCCTGGACTAGCTGAGCACCGAGTGCAGACTCGGCCAGGTGTGTGTCCGGTGGTTGTCTGTCTGCAGGTGAAGAAGGAGCAGAGCCGCCTCGGCCCTGCGCCTGTCAGTCTGCATCCAGCTTTCTTCAGAGGGGAAATGTGTTCAGTGTTGCCTCACGGTTTCTTATTTTATATCTTAAATATTTGAGCATTTTTCTCTCTCTTCCTCTCTCCTTCCCTTGCTCCCCTTTTCCCGTTCTCCTCTTCTCCCTCTCCTCAGTCAGCTCTTGTACACGTATGGAGGGGCCATAGTGCAGCTAACACAAACCCGCCGCCTCTCACTGCCACATGCTCTCTTGGGTTTGGCACAGAAAAACCACATAGCCAGGAACCTGGGAAGGCAGTCTCTGAAAGAGTGGGGAACAGGTGTGTGGGAGTGTGGATTCATGTGTTTTCCTGCCCCTTTTAATAATAATGATTGTAAGTGACTTTTTTCTTTTAGCAGCCATTCATCAGAGGTGTGGGAAGAGAAAAAAGAAATGTTTGGTTTATTTATTTATTTATATTGATTTTTGTACAGAGAGGAAGGGAGAGAGATAGAGAGTTAGAAACATCGATGAGAGAGAGTCATCGATCAGCTGCTTCTTGCACACCCCCCACTGGGGATATGCCTGCAACCAAGGTACATGCCCTTGACCGGAATCGAACCCGGGACCTTTCAGTCCCCAAGCCGAGGCTCTATCCATTGAGCCAAACCGGTCTCGGCTGTTTGGTTTATTTAAAGTAGCAAACTTTGTATTAGGGAGGGAGGGGCATATTGACTTGGAAATACCAGATTGCTGTTTCTCTCGCCCCCCTAACGCCCCACTCCACCCCCATATGCCAAATGTAAAAGCGTATAGAACCTTTCACTAAATTGCTAGAATACCAGCAGCTCTCTTGCTGCCTGGGCTCCGGGCTGGTATTTCATGGCAGACACAAGTCAAGTCCTTTCCGTGTGAAAGCACACGAGAGCGCCCTGAATCCGCACAAGCTGGCGGGAAAGGCTTCCCTCAGCCACCCCTCAGGGCCTTTTCCTCCCTCACTGGCCCAGAGGCTGCTCAGACAGCCTGTTCTCTCCTAGCTTTAAGAGCCATGGTGAGGAGAGCTTTGTGCAGTGTGTGAGAGCTACAGCGATTGTGATGAAGGAGAGGGCAGAGGGCATTTTCTATCAGTAATAGACAGTTATTTAATGTTTTTAAACCTCTTCATTGCTGTTTGCCTGGTCCTGATAGTGTAACAACCGTATGCCAGTAAGTAATGGTTATTTCCATTTGCTGTGCTGGGATTTGCTTGAACTGCCAGCCTAGTGATTCCCTGGGTTTGGGGAGGGTTATTGGAAACAGCTGCCTCTTCTCTTCCTGTCTGCACCCAGAATCCTCCTCTTCCTTTGCCTCACTTTCATTTCACGCCTATACCAGCCCGCTGGGACAGGAAGTTGGATGGTAATTATATTTTAAGTGAAATGGAGGTTCTTGCTATTGGCAAGTAACAGTTTGCTTGTGTTTGATTCAGGAAAGCAAAAACAAACGTCAGCACAGGAAACATGGAAAGCAGAATATAGCTAAATCAAGAGTAGATTCTCTTGTGTTGGTTTTAGCATATAAATTGGCATCATGAACAAGGAGTAAACAAAGCTCCGACAGCTGAAAGGCGTTTTTAGGCCAGAAGCAGCAGGTCTCGGGAGTGGGGCGCACTGAGCCCATAGGAACAGCCGGTGTCCGCTCCGGGTCTGCGTGTCCTGGAAACGCAGGGGAAGCCAGCCTGACTCTGACTTGCTTGCTAATGTGTTGAGCCATGCAATTATCTTAAATAGGGTGTCACTGGTCACTCCCATTGGACACCCCAGGATTGCCGGGTTCTTTTTCTGCATCTGGGCCCTAACAATGGTTATACATTGTATTTGCTCAGAGTGAGGTACTAGGATTGGCTTTCTGTTCTCTGCATGAAACATGGGTTATCCATTTCCTGACATTTCACATTTTGTTTGTGTGAAGTGGCATGTGCGAACACTCCTAGTGTAGCTTTGCAGAGAAACCCAATCTGGACAAAAATCACTTGTGATATCTACAAGTCGTTTAATATTATAACTGGATGGAAGTTTGTAGACTTTCACAATTCTGCAAGTCTTTAGACTATTTTGACATCATATTTTGACAATCTTAGTTAAACGCATTCTGAATTGTTTAAAGGACATCCACTTGTCTATCTGCCAGAGCGGGTACACTAATAAAACACGGAAAATAAAATTTGATGTCCATTTCTTTATATGACGTCTCTGGGATAGATAGTTTGAACTCTCTCTGATGGTTCTGCTCTGTAGTTGTGAGAGCTTACTGAAGCTATAGTCTGAGCTAAACAGTTCCTGGAGGGGTCAGCATGCATTAATGCGTCTGAAGTCCCCCAGAAGCCCTGTCATCAGTAGTGTTATCCCTTCTCTTTCCTGTTCTGTCCTCTGTTGTTGTTGCCCAGCTGATGCCCTCTGTCCCTGTTCGCCTCTTTGAATGTAGCCTTAAGATGCTCTGCTTAAATTCCCTCTCCCTGTGCCTGCCCTCCTCTGATTCTTTCCTGCCTGTTCTGGAAAGCTGAATTCACTCTCTCCTTACTGCCCAGACGTATCTGCACTTTAGTTATGATTTCCATACTTTAAAGTGCTAGGGTGCAGGTTGTACCACAGTGACCTGCATTTGCCTAGCGCTGCTTTGCTTAACTGTTGATGCATGTGTATGTCTTTTAGTCCCGGACACATTTTCCCTGTAAGAGCAGTGGCTAGTCTGTCCCTTCACCATAACACCTGTGTGTACACAGCACCTAATAAATGAGCCTTGGTAAAATATTGTGGCTTAACATTTTACTGAAAAGTTATGAATACAATTATGGTAGCTCATCTAGAAAAAAAACTCTGCTTGAGTGCTTCCTCTCCTAGGTCTTATCTCAGTTTTAGCATTTTCAGATTTATGAGGTGCACAGTTTCAGTTGGTAGAGCAGGGTGCATAGTTCAAATCCTTTTTCTTGGCCTTTAATGTTTTTTTTCTTAATGTATTCTGTTTGAATAGCAGTCTGTAATTCTGTTTTCTGGTTGGATTTTTTAAAACTTTATTTGGGAAAATAAGCCAAATGAAATTGACATGAAAAGACTTTTTTTAATATTTAAATATTTATTTTTAGAAAGAGAGAAGGAGGGGGAGAGAGAGAAAGATGGATGTGAGAAACACCAATCGGTTGTCTCCTGCACATACCCCAATGGCGGGGGGGGGCGGGGGGGGACACACCCACAACCTAGGCACATGTCCTAACTGGGAACTGAACCAGTGATCTTTCATTGTACTGAATGACATTCAACCAACAGAGCCACACCTGCCAGGGTGACATTTTGAAATTAAGATTTAAGTGCCTTTCATTGTAGTAGATGTTTTATTAAGAGCACTACTTTAGAGTGAGGGACTTGCAGACTTAATTTTACTTGGACTATGATTGTATTGTGTGTTATTTTATGACTAGAAATGTAATATGCTGAAGTCATTATAGCTAATTTTATTACTAGAAGCCTTTTATAATGGTACACCAGCTGGTTTTCCTTGTGCACCATACAGCAGTAGTACTTTTGCCCTCTTTTTGTTCTCTGAATGCAGTTGTCAGAGATGTTGGCACGGTGCTGGAACATCAAGGTGTGCAGTATGTCAGGGCTCACGGGCTACTTGGTTTGGGGGCTTTCTGACCTCACAGAGGCTGCGGTGTTAGCGACGCGGCTTTGTGTGCCTCGCCATTCCTCTGAAGCTCAGTGCCTGGCACTTTTCTGGTTGGCTCTGCATGTTTTAAAAGTTGTCCCTCTAACACACAGTTAGCTGCGCTCTGTTGTAGGTCTTCCATTCTGTACCTCAGACTGGAATAAGCCTGAATCAGAGAGCATTCACTTGAATCATCGGGTCCCTTCTCAGTTAATGAGATAACAGTGAAATAACAATATTAAAATGCATTTTGAAGACAGAGAAATTGTTTCCTGGTGGTTAATATTACTTGAGGAGTAATTATCAAGATTATTGATTGTTTTCTTTTGTTCTGTCTGGCAGTTTTTAGGGTTACTGTATCTTTCTCAGTATCTTAACAGTGGCCCAAGAGTGATGGCAGATCATTAAAGTTATTGTCTTGATTTTGTTCAGATTCCGGCCTATTAAAGGAAGGCAAGAAGAACTGAAGGAAGTCATTGAGCGTTTTAAGAAGGATGAGCACTTGGAGAAAGCCTTCAAATGTTTGACTTCCGGCGAATGGGCGCGACACTATTTCCTCAACAAGAACAAAATGCAGGAGAAACTATTCAAGGAACACGTAGGTCCATTGATAAGATGGATACTGTTTATATGTTTGCATAGGAATAAGGAAACTAAAGCATACATTTTGGTGAAAACTTGAAATCAATTTTTTGTGAAACTAATCGTATGAAACTAATCGTATGAAGAAAAATCCAACCAAAAAACGAAATTACAGACTGCTATTCAAATAGAATACACTAAGATCTAATAACATAGGATCCTTGGACTGTCCAAAGAGAAAACTTTGTCATCAGAAGTGAAATTTGTTGTGAGCTTTCAGAGTAACATAGCCATGCCATTTGGTACTCAAATATGTGAAATGTTGAAACATCAACAAAGTATTTTAAAAGTGCAACATTTTTATATTGTTGTTCATGGTTTGCTTTTATAGTTCTTTGAAAGTCTAGCAGGACAAACAGTTTACTATAAAGTTAATGTCAAATTTTTTCTTTTTTAGGTGTTCATTTACTTGAGAATGTTTGCAACTGATAGTGGATTTGAAATACTGCCTTGTAATAGATACTCATCAGAACAAAATGGAGCCAAAATAGTTGCAACGAAAGAGTGGTAACTATTGTACTAGTATAAACCCATAAAGTAATGTTATTTACAATTCTCTCTAACTTGCTGTTAAGTGCTAAGGAAGACCTGGAAGGGATTGGGCCGGAGCTCACCTAGGGAACAGGGCAGGCCGGTGCCTCGGCTCCTTATTCCCATCCTGTTGTTTAGAATTGAAGTCTGAGTTGACCAGATTCTGTGTCTAAGCTGAAGTGTGTTTTGTTTTCTTTTGGTTGAATCCGGGTGCTTTGCTCAATAATAGGCTACTGAAAGGTTAGGGAGGGCAAGGTTGGACAGCCTGGCTTTTGGAGCTGGTCCTTTACTGGCCTAGGAGAAAAGTTGGGTATGGAGCCTTCATGATCCCAGGGAGTTGGCAAGTGGGAACTTCTTAACACATTGCTTACTTTAAAAATATATAGACAGCTGGAATACAAATGGTAACATTGAGCCCTGTTAGAACGGCGACAGCCATATGGAAAAGAGAGAGTGTGTGGTTATATCTTCTTTCCTCTGATGCCTGTTCCCTACCTTTTCTCCCAAAAGAAACGTGTAGCCCCTTCCATATACCACCCTAATATATTCTATAGAAATTATAGGGTCAAGTGCCTGAAAGTGGAGGGCAAAGAGCATTACTCTCAGGCTCGATGGGTGTGTGTGTGAGTGCTTCTTGGGATGATAGCCTGTGGCCAGCTCTATGGCCCCCTGTGTCAGAGGGCGTGGAGGTGCGAGATCCTGGTCCTAGAGCTGCACTGTCAGGACAGTAGCCACAGCCACATGTGGCTCTTGAGCTCTTGAAATGTGGCAAGTCAGAATTGAGAAGTGCAGTCAATGTGATACACATGCCAGATTTCATACGAAACTAAAGTTTTCGTTAATATTTCTTAGCCCATGACCTGCTGAAATAGAATTTGGGGTTTATTGGGTTAAAATATATTGCTAAATGTAATTCCACGGGTTTTTACTTTCTTAAAGGGGCTGTTAGAAAATTGAAGATTCTGTGCTTGGTTTGCATTCTGTCTGTGGGATGGCGCTGCTCTGCAATGTTTCCCAAACTTTGGACATGTGTGCCCCTTCTATAATTTTCGTAACGCTGAGCACCCCTCGTACTCCTGAGAACGTAGAATTAGGCGCAGCTAAGCACGGTGCAGTGCATAGCCCCACCAAACTCTTCCTGTGCCTCTGGGGGTCCGCGTACCACACTTTGGGAAACACTGCTCTAGCGGATAGCATCCCAATTCTGGGTCCTCATGGCGCTTCCCACACTCATCCGTGTCTCCTTCCCAGTGTCAGCAAGTTGAATTCCGCCAGCAGGAATGGAGTTCTTTCTGCTGCAGACACTGCGCTGGGTGCTGCAGGGGTTCGGAGACATATTAATAATAGGCACAGTCTGTCCCGGGGGGCTCTCAGCCTCTGGGGGGAATGAGGCAGCGGTACATGCTGCACAAGAACATGGCAGAGGTTCTGGCTTCCCGGCGGGGATCCAAGCAAGTCAGCTAACCATGCAGAGCTGGGTCTTCTCAGCTTGGGAGCTTATTGGACAGGCTTGTTTTAATAAAAGAAGCCTTATTCATAATTACTAGTAATTTTTAACATCACATATTTTAAATAGGAAACGAAATGACAAAATAGAATTACTGGTGGGTTGTATTGCCGAACTTTCAGAAATTGAGGAGAACATGCTGCTTAGACACGGAGAGAACGACTTCAGTGTCATGTATTCTACCAGGAAAAACTGTGCTCAGCTCTGGCTCGGCCCGGCCGCGTTTATAAACCATGGTAAGCGCTCTTCCCCCGCTGTCAGCAGGGTGTTGGGCGGTTCTGCTCCGTTCGAACGGCGTAGCAGTCTAAGACCATCTTCCTGTAAAGCAGGTTAAGAATATGTCCCCCGCCCCGAGTTACTAAAGGAAATGTTCCCGTAGTTTAACTGAAGACATAACTCCTATCAAAGGTTGTAAAATTACATGGAAAGCTTATTTCAGATTTCTGTAATTGTTCGTGTTTCAGATCTTATCTGCAGTTAATTGACTTTATTTTTGGACATTTTTCAGATTGCAGACCTAACTGTAAGGTAAGCATACAAACTGTCTATCTCAAGTGTTTAGTTTTTGCTTTCGGTACGAGTTTCTTAATGAGTTCATTTTCTTTCAGTTTGTGTCAACTGGTCGAGATACCGCGTGTGTGAAGGCTCTGAGAGACATTGAACCTGGGGAAGAAATCTCTTGTTATTATGGAGATGGGTTTTTTGGAGAAAATAATGAGTTCTGCGAGTGTTACACGTGTGAAAGGTAAAGAATTAAGTAAGATGATCAGCTTTTCCATTCTTTTCACCACCTGATGGCATGGGCATGAAGTCACATTGTCTCCTCATTATTTAAATGCAGGAATAATCTTCTACATTCCAGAGCATTGTGGCCAGTAGCAGCATAAACAAAATCAAAGGTCCTTAACTTTCAAAGGCACTGGCACTTGACCCTTAAAAATATTATTACCAGCTGTTCTTATGAATGGATCAGAATTCAAATGCGCGTCAGCAGAGAATGGGAAATGACTTACACACACACACACACACACACACACACACACACGGCCACCGCACAGCCAGGGGGTTGCCCTGAACATGGCAAGTGAATTTCAATTGACAGACGTAAAAACCCTGACATGATCTTGTGTATTATCCTCTGGAATGTTTTCTTTTTAATGCACATACTCTGCATAATTCCTAAGTTCTGTCACTTAGCAAGAACCTCTCTGTAGGACCATCCAGGTTTTGGAGTCTGTACATGTCCCAGCCCTGCCGTGGCGGCAGTGATGTCCGCACGGCTCACTGGAGCGGCTCTGCCCCAGGAGCTCCCAGCACAGCTCCCCGCTGCCCGGCTGCTGCAGGAGGCGCCGTAACGTCTGTTGAACCCGTTTCGAGTGCCCTGCACCGCCCTGGCCAGACTGGTGTTGACTCATTCAGTCCTCACAGCCACCCTGTAGAGAACGGTAGTAAGGCAGTAAGGTGGCCCTGTCGCAAATGCAGAAACTTAAGTGCTTTTTACAAACCTCTTAACATATGATTTACTTACTCCTTTGAATAGAGCTGGGTAGGAATTTTCCTTTATACACTGAATAAAGCAAAGCTGTGTAAAACTAGATTCCTTTGGGATGTTTAGGAACTCTTAGTAAGTACCCTCACTTCAGAAAAATTACGTCAATACAAATAGAGCAGGTTAGAAACTGTTCTTATCCTGTGGGAAAAGCAAGTCTTTTAGCGTCTAATTTAGCAACTTTTTTAAAAATATATTTTATTGATTTTTTACAGAGAGGAACAGAGAGGGATAGAGAGTTAGAAACATCGATGAGAGAGAAACATCGACCAGCTGCCTCTTGCACACTCCCCACCGGGGATACGCCCTCAACCAAGGTACATACCCTTGACCGGAATCGAACCAGGGGCCCTACAGTCCGCAGGCCGACGCTCTATCCACTGAGCCAAACCGGTTTTGGCTAGCAACATTTTTATAACTTAACTAGAGGCCCAGTGCACAAATTCATGTGCCAGTGGGGTCCCTCTGGCCTGCGGGATCAGGCCAAAATTGTCTCTCTGACATCCCCTGGGGGGTCCCGGGTTGTGAGAGGGTATAGGCCAGGTCGAGGGACCCCATCGATGCACAATTGGGGCCAGGGAAGGACGTGGGAGGTTGGCCAGCTGGGGGGGGATTGTGGGAGAGCTCCAAGGCGTGTCTGGCCTGTCTCAGTCCCGATTGGCCAGACCCCAGCAGCAAGCTAACCTACTGGTTGGAGCATCTGCCTTGGTGGTCAGTGCACGTCATAGTGAGTACTTGAATGGCTTTAGCATACATTAGCATATTACAGTTTGGTTGAATGGATGACCGGACACTTAGCCTATTAGGCTTTTATTATATAGGATTGTGGTCATTTATTTTAATTCACGTATTATAAAGAATCATTTAATAGTTTTTATAGTTCAGAAAGTGAGACTTGCATTAATACAGCCTAGCCTTCTTAGATAGAATTTCAGCTGGAATTTGTATCTAACATTCAGTTCTAAGTAATGCCTCATTTATGGAAATTCTCTGTTTTTTTGTTTTGTTTTGTTTTTCATTTCTTAATTCTCAATATTCAGTGATGTAGTGTTAAATTGTGCAGGAAAAAGCTAGAATATACTTAACAGGTGGGTTATTTAAGCCACAATTTAGACCTATTATATATTGCACCAACCAGTTTTAAAATTGAAGATTTAGTTATCTACACATGAAATTCTATAGGGTTCAATGGTTTCCCATGGGCAGTTAATAATTGACAATAGTCATAACAATTGGTTTAGAGCTTTTTGGTGATTTTATATATATACTTAATTCCTTTTGAGAGTCCTCGACTTGGTAAATTTCCAGAGATGGTTGAGGCCTCCTCAGTTCACACATCTGTAATCTGATGTGGCCAGAACCCTCGGCAGCCGATCGTATGGTGAGTAAGTACGCTGTTTGTCTGATGTGTGCTGTTTTCTCTTTCAGACGAGGAACTGGTGCTTTTAAATCCAGAGTGGGACTGCCTGCGCCTGCTCCTGTTATCAATAGCAAATATGGACTCAGAGAAACAGATAAACGTTTAAATAGGCTTAAAAAGTTAGGTGACAGCAGCAAAAACTCAGACAGCCAATCTGTCAGCTCTAACACTGATGCAGACACCACTCAGGAAAAACACAATGCAAGTAAGTAAGGGAGGTTTGATAAGCATCTTTTCTTACGTGTTTTCACACAGTTTGTTCTCTAAAGTGTGTTTCAATAGTTTTGATCTCTTAAGAATTGAGAGAAGCCCTGGGACTCGTGCACTCCAGCAGCTTCGCAAGATTCTAGAAACGCTCTGCCACAGAAGCGGCTGCGCTGGCCTCCGAGTCCAGGCGCTCATCCAGACTGACCGTCTGCTTTTCTTGGCTCCTGGGTAACTGATGTTACCACCTTCAGCCTGTGTTCCAGGGTCGTCATATATGTTTGAAAGAACATTTTCAGGTGCTAGTTTCACCATAATTCTATCATGTCTTCCGAGAAGACGGGACGGGTGGGATCTGACGGGCACACGTGTTTCTGGGCCTAGCCAGCCTGCTAGGGTGGAGGATGGGCTGGGAGTGATAGCTTCTGGCTTCAAGTCCCCACCTTTTCACTACTTATCTTTTTTCCAAATGAACGGACCCAGTTTACTAAGTTATTAGTTACCAGGCTCTTAATTACGATAAAGGAACACTTTAGATGTCAGTGTGCTATGACATATTAGCCACTAACAAAGCAACAAGACGAAAGGAGAAAGAAGCAAGCTTGAGGATGCCAGGCCAGGGAAGGGGGCGCAAGACCTATGGAACTGGAGAGAGAGAAGGAAGAAGGAGAGGAAAGAGAAGAAAGCCTGAGCGAACAGAAGAAAAGGCCCCATCCTGCTGGAGTGTGAAGGCCCGGGCTTCTGGTTGGGCTGCTTCACGGCGATGCCAGTGTCTCTGGCTCCGCTCAGATGGCAGTTCAGTCCACCTGGCGTCGGACAGGCATTGAGTTCCAAGTTTTGGCTGGTGATCCCCGGTGTATGCCCGTTTGGGCACTGAATGCTCAGATACTTCCCCGTGCCTGTGCCTGTGCCCTCTGAGGCCTCGTTATTTCAGCTCTTCTCCGTTCTCGCACGTGTCCCCCCAGCACTGGTGCTCCCCTCCCGGGCAGACAGTCCCAAAGAGCGGGAGTGTCCCCCAGGGCAGGGCTCACTGCCGTGAATGCCCAGATCTGCTGCTGCCGCCTCATTAGTGTGATCCTGCGTGTCGTCCGGTTCGTACAAATGTCCAACGTGAACAAAGAGCAGTTAGTCCGTCACTCACTCGGACTGTCGGTTCTAATAATAAATGCCGCACAATCACTGTCTGTTTTCCGAGTGTGGTTCCTTGTGAGACGGGAGGCTTGTGAGGTCTCTCTGAGACGGCCACCGTGCTGTCCGCACTGATTGGCTCTTGGCATTTGTGGGGTGTTTTGTGTTCTTATGCATTAACTATTTCTAATGCATAGATTCCGAACTCAGTACACCACTTAGTTTAAAAGATTGGAACACAAATATTTTTGGAAGGTTTTGAGTATATTACTAAGTGACCATCGGAATATTTACTAATAAACTAAATATTAGTACTTATTAAAAGCCTGGCAGTCATTGAAGAGAGACGTGTGTAGGAGACTCAGCCCCGCCCTCGGGAAACTCATGCCCTAGTCCCAGGACGGGGAGGGCACCGGTCACAACCAGAGCCCCCTAACGTTCCCACTGGCTTCCTTCAACCTCTTCCTGCAGACGGCTGGCTGCCGGCCTCTGACTGCCGGCCCCGGCGTTGGTGTGCTGGCTGAGGGCATGTGGTGGGCGTGCTCGGTGCTCTGACCAGTTCCAGGCTTACTCCAGCCACCTCCTTGGCCAGCAAACACTCAGCCACGTTCACGCAGTGTTTTCTCAGACTCTGCCATGCAGTCTCTCAGGCTGTTTCTTTGGTGCTTGTGTCTTAAACAGCCTCCTAAGCGTGTGAGGGGGAGACCTGGTAACGCAGCTGGTGGCAGAGCCAGAGCGCCTGAGCCTTGGTGCTGAGGGCGGTGGTGCCCGCTGAGTCAGAGTGACTCCCCGTGTGGCTGCCTGTCTGGGATTTTGCAGCCTGTCTGGCATCAGTGGCTGGTGGAGGAGCTGCTTTCCTTGAGCAGTGTGATATTCTTAAACATTCTGCCTAGTGGGAAGAAGTTATTCCTTCCACACAGATTATTTTTTTAAAAATTTAATCCTCATCCGAGGATATGTTTAATTTTCATTGACTTTAGAGGAAGGAAGGGAGGGAGGAGGCAGAGAGAAACATTGAGATGTGAGAGAAACATCCATCAGTACGCCCTGATGTGGGATCAAACCCAAGACCCAGGTATGTGTCCTGACTGGAATCAGACCACCACCTTTTGGTGTGGGTGGCGTTCCACCCCAATGAGCCCTCCTGCCAGGGCCAAGGCCATGTCCGAATGGCATCTCAGAGCCACAGCCTATTTGCTTAGCATCTACAGAGCGGAAACAAGTCCTTTTTTAAAAGTTTTTTCCCCTCAAACCAGTGTGGCTCAGTAAATAGAGTGTTGGTTTGTGGACTGAAAGGTCCCAGGATTGATTCCAGTCAAGGACATGTATCTTGGTTGCGGGCACATCCCCCGTAGGGGGTGGCATGCAGGAGGCAACTGGTCGATGTTTCTAGCTCTCTACACCTCTCCCTTCCTCTCTGTAAAAAATTAATAAAATATATATTTTTAAAAATAACAAAGTATTTTTTAAGTATTTTTTTTTATTTTTTTAAGTATGTTTTTGATGATTTCAGAGAGAGGTAATTAGAAACATCAATGATGAAAGAATAATCCATCAGTTGCCTCCCGCATGCTTCCTACTGGGAATTGAGCCCACAATCCAGGCATGTACCCTGACTGGGAATTAAATTGTGACCTGATTTATGGGTCAACACATAACCATTGGCCCACACCAGCCGGGTGAGAAATCCTTCTCACAAATTCCGTTTACATGCCTGACTTGTGCCGTTATTGGAAGATTCCCATGTTTTAGGTTCTTGTGCCTGGATGGCTGGGCACTGCCCACCATCGGTGCCGTGAATTGGAACGTGTGTCAGTGCCAGTGCCTCAGGCCGGTGCAGAGCCGGAGCCGCGGCCAGTGGATGAGCTGCTCTTAACCAAGGGCTGCCTGTCCCGGAGGCGGGGTGGGCCCTGCTCGCTCTCCTGTCACAGCCCGCGGGCCCGGGCCAGGAGCTGCGGCCGGTCTGTGGTCACATGAGACGAGGATGCTGGCTGCTCGAGTTCCGAAGTGTCAGCCGGGTGGCCCTCGTGTCACCTCATGACGGTGCTCCCGGGCATCGCCAGCACAGAGCGGGGCGCAGGCCTGGCCCTCGGGGAGCCTTGGGGTTCGGGGCCGCTCTTGTATCTGCCGGCAGCCCCGGCAGCCCCGGCAGGGCTGCTAAGGTCTGAGGGCCCTGAAGTGACGGAGGGCCGTGAGGCTTCTTTCCCATGCGCTGGGGTGGCTGCCTTAGAGGCAGAGCTGAACAATTGGGCTCTTAAACCATTTCCTCAGTTCAAATCCCATCCCTGCCGCTCAGATGGACGGTCATGGGCACACCGGTCCACGTGAGCTCTGTGCCACAGCGTAACCGCTCTGACTCCAAAAGACGCCTGTTAGCATGGAGATCGTGCTAAGGTGGCCGTTTGCCCGACCTGCTACATCATGCCGGTTAGGGGTGTGTTTTCGCCCACAGTGAGGGTAGGCTATGCGTTGGAGGTCTGTCCCAGCCAGCGGGGAAGTCACGCCTGGTGTGCGAGTGCTGCTGCCAGGGCCTCCGCTCCTCCTGTCAGAACCCTCAGTCGCTGATGAACTTTCCTTCGTTTGCCACTGGGCCTCCCTTGCCCTCTGTGCTGATGCCTCGGTGCCCAAGGACAGTGTGGCCCTTTGGGGGCAGTGAAGAGCCCTTGGCTCTTACTGCCCTCTGGTCTTGGCCACTTCGCTCACACTTCTGCCCAGCTTGCTCGTGTCCGTTTTGACCTTAGACTTGGTAAGCACACTTTTCAGTTGGGCTTTCGATGAGATCATGCTTTTTAGACAAGATGAGAATACACTAAATACATAACCGTAAGGGAAACAAGTCGTAGCGTCAAATAGTCTATTTTGAGCTGCTGAGAGCAAACACCCAGGTGGACAGCTAACAGTGGTCCCATGGGAAGAAGGCGTGTGAGAGGAGAGGCAAGCGCCAGAATCACCATAAAATGAGGCTTCATCTGATGGCTCCAATCGTCCAAGTGAGGGCCGCACGGAAGACAGTGAGAGCGCCCCGTCCTGTGTAGGCATCTGGACAGCTCCCTGGGAGACGTGGTTCCTGCTGAACAACAGAGGGTGAGAAGCTGGCCACGTGAGGCCAGTCAAAGCAGAGGGACTTATTTTAAAATCACATATTCATTATATATAAGGGGATGCGTGTAGAGCTTGAATGAGTAAAGTTTATCATGGGCGGAATGGAAGGTAGGAAGAAAGGATGTGAGCACAACTTAAAATGTTGGATTTGATCCTTAGAGCATTTGCTTATTAAAAGGTTTAAATCCCAGAAGTGGCATGGGTACTAGGAAGATCATTCTGTTCGCCTGGTGGAGAATGGGATGCTGGGAAAGCAGTAGGAGAGAGAAAAATAAAGGTGGCCCTAACCGGTGTGGCTCAGTGGATAGAGCGTCGGCCTGTGGACTGAAAGATCCCAGGCTCTATTCCAGTCAAGGACATGTACCTCGGTTGCAGGCACATCCCCAGTAGAATGTGTGCAGGAGGCAGCTGAAGGAATTTTCTCTCATTGATGTGTCTGGCTCTCTCTCCCTCTGTGTAAAAAAAAGATGGACGCTGTTGCCCTCATTCAGGCAGGCGGCTGTGCAGTGACAATGGGGAGACATTGCAGGAATGGCCTCCACGGACCTGGTGGCTGGCTGGTGAGGCAGTGAGGGAAAGCAGGCGTCAGGAGTGTCCTCCCCGTGTCCGGGGTGACAGGCGAGAAGTTCGGTGTGAGCATGTCCAAGGGGTTACGGCGGCCTTGGGGAGACCCGGATGCCAGCAGGTATTTGGTGTGGGTCTGTGGCTAAGGAGAGAATCAGGTGAAAGATCGTGGCTCAGGAAGGGGGTGGGCGCCTCTCACCAGGAGGCTGGCACAGCAGAGGCCTGGGGCTGCGGTGTCCGTGTGGGCAGGTGGAGGGCGAGTGTTCTCGGGGACAGCGGAGGGGAGAGGGTTTCCCTGGAAAATGAACGTCAGCAACATCACATTCTGCAAAGGAAGGTGAGGGCGGAAGGTGCTCCCTGGGTTTCATGACCTGGCGGTGGTCAGAGATTGGCCAAGGCGCTCGTGTGGGGTCAGGCTGGATCCCGATCTCGGGCGGATCGCTGTGGAGAACGCAGTGTGTATGTGGCTATAGAACACAGTGACTGCAGGCGTGAAACGAGAAGGGGTGGGGAAAGGAACGAGAGGCTGAGAACACTAAGCGTGGCCATGGAATGGTCCTTGAAGGGTCGGGCTGGCAGAGGACCCCTTAGGCGACCGAGAAAGCCGAGCGCAGACGCTGGTGTGGACTTCTGTCAGTAAACGCGGGGCCTCCTGGTGCGGCTGTGGTTGAGCATCGGCCTACGAACCAGGAGGTCCTGGTTCGGTTCTTGGTCAGGGCACATGGCTGGGTTGAGGGTTTGATCCCCAGCATGCAGGAAGCAGTGACTGTTGATCCTCGTCATTGATATTTTTTCTCTCTCTCCCTCTCCCTCTCTGAAATCAATAAAAATACATTTTAAAAAATAAGCCAATAAGTGCCTCTTCCAGTTCCACCTTGAAGGAAGCCTTGAAAGCAGAAATTCTTTAACCGAAGAATTCCCCAAATATCCTCATATTTTAAAAATCATTTCCCGCAAGTTCTGTACGATTCCAGTTCATGTACATGTTCTCAAAGGGAATGGCATCCAAAATTACTTCAAAAAATAGGGGGCTCATTTCTGGGGATTCTGCTGGTTTAGGTCCCTCACTTCCATTTGGGGGCCCGCCTTGAGTATAGAGCCCCGTTCTCGGGGTGATGCTCGGAGTGCTTGTTACTCATTCCGGTTCTCCGTAAAGACTGACTAACGGCGGCGAACTTGCTCAGCCACGCAGAGGGAACAGCTGTCGCCCTGGCCACCTTAGGTCATGTAGTAAGGACCATCTTTGCCCCGCAGTGCGCTGGACTGACCCACATTCGTTGTTTCTATTTCCTTGTTTTCTGATGAGAGACGGGGCGGCTTGGTGTTCTCAGCTTCTCTGTGAATGGTGGAAAAGGGGTGTTTTGATGGGATGAGGTTTTCGGGTGGGGAGTGTGGGAAGCTGAGAAGTTGACTCCTGTAAGACCCTGTGTAGGTGCAAAGGGAAACGCAAAGGAAGACAGAGATGGAGCTGGTCAGCGGAAGGTCAGGTTCTCGGGGCGCAGCTTAAACTGTCACATGTACGCCTTTTGGAAAGCCCTTCGTTTCCACTCAGTTCCCAGTAGGATCACCCCAGCCTTCCTGTGTCCTTGTGGAAGGAGTTGGACCCCTTGTCTTGAGAGGAATGGTGGACTGCTTCTCTCAGTGTGATGGTGGGCACAGCAGGCGCGGGAGGGCGGGCCGGGCCAGGTGAGCTCTGCTGACTCCCAGCGCCTCGGCAGTTCTCTGGGGGTGTCAGGACACAAACGCGGTTCCTCCATCTCTCGTTGAAACTGTTGGAATAGAAAGTGTCTCTGAGCCCATTTGCAATCTATTTCCTGAGTTAACGAATAGTTGGATTTTAGAAACCTATTTAAAATGATTATTTTAAGAATTTGTGGAATAAAATAAAACTATGACTTTTCCCCTTAGATCCACCTTCAAATCTTTTACATGGTGAAATACTAAGTCGAAAAGAAGTACTTATTTTGACCAGCATCATGGTAGACGAAGGACATGCAGAGTGGAATCTAGGTGCTTGGTAGCAGGGGCTCCTCAGACACCCCGTTCGGATGGAGTAGATGCTGGGGTCAGGCTGGGTCAGGTAGGAACGTGAGGGAAAGTGCGGCAGCTGATGCGCAGGCAGAAGCCAGGCCACCTGTCCGCTGCGCTGTGTAACTGAGCGTCACGTGGCCGGGAGTCTGGTTTTGGATACTGTTTTGTGTTATCAAGGCTATTTTTCATCTTTTTTCCTTTCTTTCTTTCTTTTAACTTGGCAGCTTCTAGCCGAAAATCTTCAGTTGGTGTGAAAAAGACCAGCAAGAGCAGAACATTAACAAGGCAATCTATGTCAAGAATTCCAGCTTCTTCCAACTCTACCTCATCTAAGCTAACTCATCTGAATAATTCCAGGGTACCAAAGAAACTGAAAAAGCCTGCAAAGCCTTTCCTTCCGAAGGTAAAATTAAGAAACCATTGCAAGCGGCCGGAGCAGAAGAGTGGGTCAGGAAAGCTCGAGATGGGAAACTTAGTCCTGAAAGAGCCGAAAGTGGTTCTCTATAAAAATTTGCCCCTTAAAAAAGATCAGGAGCCAGAGGGACCAATGCCAGCCACAGCGGCTAGCGGGTGCTTAACCAGACACGCGGCGAGAGAGCACAGACAGAATTCGGGGCGAGGGGCCCCCTCGCCAGGGGAGGGCGCCCCCAGCGCCTACCCCACCAGGCGGTCTGCACGGACGAGAACGGTTCTGAAGGAGCCCTCTGACATCAAGCTTGAACCAAATACTCCGGACGGCTATGAAAGCAGCGTGACCGAGCCGGGCCCGGAGAGCGAGCACCCGCCGCCTGCGGCGCAGGAGGAGGAGGAGGGAGAGCTGGGGGCTGAGGCCGCGCACAGCGGGGAGGCCGGGTGTCCGCGGGGCGAGGGCAGCCTTGTGAAAAAGAAGTCACGGCCAGGGAAGCTCGTGAGACAGTTGGCCAAGGCGGGGGAGTGCCCTCCGGAGCACAGTCCCCCCGGGAAGGCCGGGGCGGGGCCCAGCGTGCCGGGGTCCCTCCCCGAGCGGGGCGAGCACAGCGCCCCCGAGGGGCTGCCCGGCAGCTACACGGACTGGGCCCCTTCGCCCGCCGCGGACGGCTCGGCGGGGACGGCGGACAGCTTCAGGACAAGGGACGGCTTCAGGGCTGCGAAGAGCAAGAAGAAGAGGCGCATCACGCGGTATGACGCCCAGCTCATCCTGGAGAACAGCTCCGGGATCCCCAAGCTGACGCTGCGCCGGCGGCACGACAGCAGCAGCAGGACCAGCAACCCGGAGAGCGACGGGATGAGCGCCTCCAAAATCAGCATCAAGCTGAGCAAAGACCACGAAAACGACAGTAACCTCTACGTAGCAAAGCTCAACAACGGGTTCAGCTCGGGGCCGGGCAGCAGCGCCACCAAGCTGAAGATCCAGCTCAAACGCGGCGAGGAGGGCCGGGGGCCGTGCGCCGAGGGGCGGCGCGAGAACGGGGTGTGCTGCGGGGACCCGCTGGCCCTGCTGGAGTCGCAGGTGGAGGTGGGCGACTGCAGTCAGCACGAGGAAGACAGCACGGACGCCGCCGCCTCCTCCTCCGAGGAGGAGGACGACGACGACGACGACGACTTCGAAGACGACTTCATTCCCCTCCCGCCCGCCAAGCGGCTGAGGCTCATCGTCGGGAAAGACTCCATCGACATCGACATTTCTTCCCGAAGGAGAGAGGATCAGTCCTTGAGGCTTAACGCGTGA